TATGCGGTTCCCCGTCATTTAAACCAGATATTAACCATGAAGTTAAAGAGCCACGAACTTGGATTCTTCCACGGACGTTAGATCTCGATGAGCTCTACATTTTGCACATACTTTGGAATTCGTGGGTTTTTATTTTCGCGACGTTATGCGGTTCCCCGTCATTTAAACCGGATTTTAACCATGAAGTTAAAGAGCCACGAGCTTGGATTCTGCCACGGACGTTAGATCTGGATGAGCTCTACATTTTGCACATACTTTGGAATTCGTGGGTTTTTATTTTCGCGACGTTATGCGGTTCCCCGTCATTTAAACCGGATTTTAACCATGAAGTTAAAGAGCCACGAGCTTGGATTCCTCCACGGGCGTTAGATCTCGATGAGCTCTACATTTTGCACATACTTTGGAATTCGTGGGTTTTTATTTTCGCGACGTTATGCGGTTCCCCGTCATTTAAATCGGATTTTAACCATGAAGTTAAAGAGCCAAGAGCTTGGATTCTGCCACGGACGTTAGATCTGGATGAGCTCTACATTTTGCACATACTTTGGAATTCGTGGGTTTTTATTTTCGCGACGTTATGCGGTTCCCCGTCATTTAAACCGGATTTTAACCATGAAGATTAGCTCAAAAGTTAAAATAAATGTCATATTCGTGTTCAGCATGGTCAACTTAACCCATGCCATGAATCTGAAGTGATTTGGAATTCGTCGCTGAATACGTATACGTATACGTCGCTAAGTTCACGGACATATGTTCTTCACCATATACGGGCCGACTGCTTGTGAACAGAACTCTATGTGGGGTCTAACGTACGTGTTGAAAAGAGGCCTGAAGTTCTGTTCACTTAATGAACTAAATGCTGATTTGAGTAGTCTAATATCGGGGTTACATGAGCACAGTAAATACGTATTTAGCCGCTATTTCGAATTAGGAACGCATTACCGACTCATGTAGCCACCTGCTAGTACGAATCGGCGATCCGATCCGCGGTTACATGAGCAAAGCAAATACGTATCACGATCGGATTCACCGCTAATGCGAATCAGGAGCGTACTACCGACTCATGTATCCACCTGCTAATACGAATCGGCGGTCCGAACAAAATCCGCTGAGAAACAGGCTTAGAAGCGAATAGGACCAAGATACGTATTACAGGAACTATTTCTTTGCAAAAAGAAACATTAAAATGCAAAATAATAGGTATTTTTTCAATTTCTTCTTTTGAAATAATATTTAAAAAATATGTCGGTATATTGTCAAGTTTTCAACAATAATTATTGTGAAAACCAAATAGTAAATATCCACATAATTTCAGTTGAAACATTTTTCTGACAGCACTACAGACGAATCAAGAGAGGCAATTGCCCAATGAGTCAAAGCAGGACAACTTTATGTTCAACTTTTTTTTGTTAAGTTAATTGAGAATGATTTGAGCAGATTAAATGCAAAAAAAGACATAAGATAATAAATTTTTAATTTAGTCACCTCTATTGCTACGGAAGTGCGCCACATTTGTATGCTATTTCGTTTGTAATGCGCATCGGGCCGAGAGCCAAACTAGATCCGTTTGACGTCACTGATACGAATTTGCTCATGTAGTCGGTGCACTGAATGCGTTCTTGGGGAGCTGATGCGAATTAGCGATAGTGCGTATTTGGAACGGATCGCTCATGTAACCGAAACGTCCGAGGCACACGATTCGGGCCGTATTTCACAAGAACTATTCTTTGCTGACTGGAAGCGTCAAAATGCAAAATACTAAGCATTTTTTTATTGGCTGCCTCGTAGAAAATAACATAAAAAAATGTTGGTATTTTGGTTTAGTCTTTGCATGTGAAATAAAATGAATGAAATATTTTGATAGATAATTTTTTCTGACCACCCTGCTGTCGCTGCATGGCGAATCAGTGCCCACTGACTTAAAACAAGAAAACTTTGTTTTCATTTTTTGATTTCATGTTAATTTTAAATGTTTTTGAGCCTATCAAATGATATAATTATTTAAAATTTAGCTCAGTCGTCCCGGTAAATGCCGCAACTGCGCCATGACTGTACGCTAATCCTATTCCGTTTGTGATGCGAATTACCGGCCGTCGAGGAGTCAGCCCGGGTGAGCCAAACAAGATCCGTTTGACGTAGATAAAACGAATTAGTCTCATGTAACCGGTGCCGTAGATCCGTTTGTGGGGAGCTGATGCGCATTAGCGTAGTGCGTATTTGGAACGGATCGCTCATGTAACCCCGGTATAAGGGCGGACATACCCTTTTGGGCCGCCTTCTCGCAGTGAACCGTCAGCTTCAAGGAGTCGTCAACCAGTACCCCTAAGTCTCTTTCCAGGCGCGTCTCTTCCAGTGGTTTCGTAAAGCCGTCCTGGGTTATAGTGTATCTTTGTCCTAGGTTGCTTGCTCCGCAGTGCATAACCTTGCACTTAGAGACATTGAATTTCAATAGCCATGCATCAGACCAAATTCCTAACTTGTCCAAATCTTGCTGCAACACCCTAGTATCGTGGCAGTTGTTTATGGACCGATAAATCTTCACATCGTCTGCAAACATTTTGACTTTGCTTCGTACTAAACCTGGGATTTCATTTACAAATATCAGAAACAGGACTGGCCCCAGCACAGACCCTTGGGGTACTCCACTCGTGATGTACGTCCAGTCAGACAACCCGCTCCCCACCCTGACTTGTTGCTGTCTTCCCTGGAGGAAGTCCTTCGTCCATTCTAGCACACTGCCTCTCAAACCGTATGCCTCGAGTTTGACAGCCAGTCTCTTGTGGGGAACAGTATCGAATGCCTTTTGATAATCCAAGAACACAATGTCCAGTCCTTTACCCTCATCAATGATCCTTGTCCAGTCTTCCATTGACTCAAGCAAGTTTGTCTGGCATGACCGCTTCCTCATAAACCCATGTTGATGATTACTTATTAGGTTGTTTGCCTCCAGATGATGGACTATATGTTTCCTTAGAATTCTTTCCATGACCTTGCATACCTGTGAGGTAAGGCTCACTGGTCTGTAATTACTTGCTTCACATCTGGCTCCTTTCTTGAATATGGGTGTGATGACTGCAGTCTTCCAGTCCTGTGGCAACTTAGCCTGCACCAGGGATTTGTTGAACAATGAGCACAGTGGCTCAGCCAATTGGGCTGCACAAGCACCAAGCACAGTGGGTGCCAATCCATCTGGCCCTGGAGCCTTGGTGGGGTTCAGGTTCACTAGTTCATCTTTTACTTCTTCAACCAGGATGGTGATGCCGCTGAGAACACTGTCGTTTTCAACCTGGGCCGGGAACGTTGGGGTGCCGCTATCACTCTCAGTTGTGAATACAGACTTGAAAAAGGACTGCAGTGCTTCTGCCGCCTCCTGGTCAGATTCTGTTAACCTCCCTTGAGAATCTTTGATTGGGCCTACTGCAGCCTTTACCTTTTGCTGAGCTCTTATGTATGCATGCAGTTTTTTGGGGCTTTGTTTTATTCTGTTTGCTATCGTGTCTTCATACTCCCAGCGCGCTTTCCTGATGCATGCTGTTGTGCGGTTTCTTTGCACAGTGTATTCCTTGTATCTAATTTCGGTTTTGCACTTGTCATACTCCTTCCATGCCTTGTGATTCTTCTTCACTGCCATCTCAAGTCTTTTGTGCCACCATGGCGGTTTGTTTGTTGTAATCGCCTTTGGCCTTGCTAGCGGGACATATTTGCTAACCATTTCTTCAATTCGATTTCTGAAGAACTTCCAACTTCTCTCCACATCCATGTCCTCCATTAGTGTCCAGTCCACTTGTCCTAGAACCTCTGACATATCTCTGTAGTTCCCTTTCCTGTAATCAAGCCTTGGCCGAGTTTTGGTGCTAGCTTCATCTCTGATTTCCTTGCCATAAATAAACTTCCAGGTCAACATCACATGGTCACTTTTCCCTACAGGACTCTCTGCTGATACACCATCGACCATGAGTTCTTCAGTGCTAAATATCAAATCCAGGAGAGATGGGGTACAACCTTCTCTGAATCTAGTGGGTTCGTTTACATACTGGACGAGAAACAAATCCTGCACCATTTCATAAAACCTGGCAGCATCAGAGTTTTCTGGTCCAGTAACTGAACCATAACACCAGTCTATCTGCCCATAATTAAAGTCACCCATGATGAGAAGACTGTTTGGTGAGATTCTCTTAGCATGCTGAATACAATCATTTAGCCTTGCGTTGTGGGCTGCAGAACTACCAGGGCTTCTGTAAATCACCCCCACAAGAATTTTGACTTGAGGACATGGTTTCAGTACACACCACACAGCTTCGCTGTCATAAGCATCATTTAGTTCGCTACATTCTAGGATTTCCCAGCTGTCTCGGACAAGCAGCATTACCCCACCTCCTATCTGGTCAGCTGGTCGGTCCTTCCTGACAGCTGGGTGGTATCCTTTTAGCATGAATAGTTCTTTCTGCCAAACTTCTGTCAGACCAATCACGTCGGGATCATACTGCTGAACTCTACACTTTAGTTCGTCTTGCTTATTTCTTAGGCTATTAATATTTGTATACATACATTTTATCACCCTTGATGATGCCTGTTTGTGAGCCCTTGCTTTTTCTTTACTCCCTGCGGATGACCTTTCCTCGAAAAATTCTGTGGGTGTCCTTACCTTTCCTGACCAACTCTTCTCTCAGTTTCTTTTGCTGCTCCCTTTCATCCAGGGACAAGTCTCGTGTGATGTAGATGTTGCTAAATCCAACCCTTTTAAGGTTCCATCTTTCTCTGAGGAGTGCCTCAACATCCTCTTTTTTCTTTAGCCCAACAAGCATCAGTCTTGGTTTTGGTTCCCTTCCTTCATCTTCAATGGCCTCTCTCCTTTTGCCAAGCCTGTAGATCTTGTCAGTCTCCATACTTCTTTCCTCACCCAGCAGTGCCTTGACTATGTTGTTGAAGCTGTTCTCGTCGTACTTCTTCCGTGATGCTGAGTCACTGGACTTGCTTTCTGGTATGTTGTGAATGATAACATTAATCTCTCTTTTTTCCCTATCTTCGTTTCTTTCAATCATCCTCTTCAGTTCCTGTGTACTTTTCTGAAGCTCCGACTGGATCATTGGCATGGATTGCACAACTTCCTTATGTGCGTTCAGTGATTTTTCTACCTCCTTTTGCTGCTCTTGTAGTTTTCCTTAGCGGCCGGCCGCCGTGGGGACGTTTTTGTACGACTTATATCTCCGCAGCCACTGGACCGATACACTTGCGGTTTTTTGTATGGGGTAGCGTATACCCTTCTTACAAGTATTTTACTATGGACGATGCATGCGGGTGACCCCTACTGCACGTGACACGTGTAAAACAGAGGGGTGTCACTTTTGTTGTAATGACAATACCACGGTAATTCCTGAGGAGATTCTGCTGAAACTACACAAGGATGTAGGCACACACCGGGCCAGCCTTTCCATGTGCTACGGCTGGGGTGCAACTGCACGTGCGCGCGTGCAGGGTGACGCTTCCAGATCTCGAGAACGGCCGGGCCGATTGAGCTCAAATTTGGTACACCGCTAGAGACCGGTTAGTAGGGTGCCGTGCACAAATCAGATGGGATCCAGGTTGCACGTGCGCACGTGCAGGGTGACGCTTCCAGATCTCAGGAACGGCTGGGCCGATTGCACTCAAATTCGGCACACTTCTAGAGACTTATCAGTAGGGTGCCGTGCACAAGTCAGTTAGTATGTATTGGTATGTGTCACGGTTGGATTGCAACTGCACGTGCGCACGTGCAGGGGTCGTTTCCAGATCTTGAAATTGACTGGGCCGATTTAGCTCAAATTCGGTACACCGCTAGAGACCGGCAACTAGGGTGCCGTGCACAACACAATTGGGACCCAGCTTGCACGTGCGCACGTGAAGGGTGCCGCTTCAAGATCTCGAAAACGGCAGGACCGATTGCACTCAAATTTTACACACCGCTAGAGTGGTTAGTAGAGTGTCCTGTTCGTCAGCTCGTAGCACACCCACTCCGGTCTGCACGTGCCAGGCTCATCCTCTCGTTTGGCGGTGGGTAACCGCAGGCTGTTTCTTCATTAGAGAAACACTATTCGTTAGAATTGTGTTTTTCTATTGAAAAAAACAGCCGGAGCAGTCCTTCGCCGGGCTATGTTTTGCATACTTGGCCGCGAATCCAAATAGAAGACTAGACCAGGAAACAATTAATGAGTTTGCTACCACAACACATTAACCTCCGCCCGAGTGGTATTGGCAGGTTCGTCCGCTGACATTTGTGTGGAGACGCCAGGGGCCCATTCTTGCCTATTGTGTGCGGATACAGGACGCTAAGACCCGCTGTAGCCGCCTGTACACCCAGACGATGGTTGTCGGAACTGGTTCTTGTATTGTACCGTTTCTGCAAGCGAAAATATGGCTCACAATCGACACACAGGCCACATACACAGAAGTTCTTGCGGCCACCATCATCTATTATCGTGTACACCAGCGTCACTATCGTAACACATCTATCAAATAGACGCTCAATTTACCAACACGAGCATTTATCAATGAATATCTTACCGACTGTCGCGTTTCGTCGGGCCTGCTCGCCTCCCACTACTCCGACAAGGGCAACCGCCTATATTAAGGCGAATCAAAAGACAAACAAGTTCTTCATCACGGCCCGTGACCGATCTTGGACCAAAAATGCCTGCACTCGCCCCGCTCGCCAACATGGCAGCCAATAGAGCGCGGCGGCGCCGCTGGATCTACGCAAAACAAATACCAGTACTTCGAAACATGAACAAAGCTTGACGAATCGCGCGCTATTGGTATTACAAATAAGGCTCAAAGGCCCAAAGTTCGCAAAATCATAGGCATAGAGTATCAGATACCCACAAAAGAAAAGAAACAAACATTGCAGCCTCACAGTACTTAGCTCATCCCCGGCACAAGCCCCCCGCCCACCACTAGGGCGCGGCCGGCGATCAGCTGATCGGCAAGGTCAGCCACCGGCCCAAGGGGGGAGGAGGGATGCGCCGGGGAGGGGAGGGCCGGCCGCCCGCAGGAACAGGCTACTAAACCGCATGGCGCCTACACCGCCCCCTTTGAAGGCACGCGCATTCAACACTGGTCTTAGCCTATTTCAACAGCCCTAAACTAACACATGAGACGAGACACGCGCAGTCAAACACAGTCCTAGCGTTCACAATACTCGTTTTCGCACATGAGGACCAGTTTGTTGACAGGGCGGAGTATCTCTGCGCCCTTTGCTCTCAATCTAACACTACGAACCAGGCCATCCTTGCCCGGAAAAGTTTCAATGACGCGGCCCAGGGGCCAGCGAGACCTGGGGAGCTCCCTATCGGCTACCAGGACGACGTCGTTCACCATGAGTGATCTCGTAACACGAAAGGCCTTCTGCCTCTGCTGCAAGAGTGGAATGTATTCTTTGATCCACCTGGACCAAAAAATGCCGGCCAAGTATTGCGCTTGGCGCCACCGTCTCCTCAAGTACAGGTCACCCGCTCCGAATACTCCCACCGGGACGGATAGCGCGCCTCCCGCCAGCAAGAGATGGTTGGGAGTCAGTGGCTGTGGGTCACCGCTATCGCTGGACACGTACGTCAGTGGGCGACTATTTATAATGGACTCGACTTCGCAGAGGAGAGTTGTCAGGGTCTCTTCGGTGAGTACTTGTTCTGTCATCAGTGCATCTAGAACCTTCCGTATGGTACGAATGACTCTCTCCCAGACACCCCCATGTGACGAAGCTTCTGGGACGTTGAAGTTCCACTGAATCTTCCTCTGCAGCAGGTCCTCATGTATGACGTCCTCACTCCTCGAGAGGTGTTCCCATTCTGCTTTCAGTTCATTGTTTGCTCCCACAAAGTTCGTGCCACGATCTGATCGGATGGTCTTAACTTGCCCGCGTCTAGCAAGGAATCGTCTCAGAGCGCAGAGGAACGAATCGGTAGACATCGACTCAACTACTTCTATGTGTACTGCCCTCGAGACGAGGCACGAAAAAACGATTCCGTACCTTTTCTCCCGTCGTCGTCCCTTCCTGACGTAGAAGACGCCAAACATATCCAGCCCGGTGTTTGTGAATGGTGGCTCATCCGGGGTCACCCTGTCCTCAGGCAGGTTCGCCATCTTCTGGTTCAGGAGCGGGCCCTGACGACGACGACAGCTGACACAGCGACTGAGGACGCGTCGGACAGCCGAGTTTCCGCGCAGGATCCAGAATCTCGAGCGCAGCAGCGACAAAGTGTGCTCTCTTCCAGAGTGACCTGCTTCTTCATGGATGCTCTGAATAATCAGATCGACAACATGATGACGTCTGGGAAGGACAGGAGGGTGCGCCTGGTCTTCCCGCATTGGTGCGTGGCGTAGACGTCCGCCTACCATGATCATCCCGTCGTGCAGATACGGGTCCAGCCGTGCGAGAGGACTGGTGAGTCCGACGGCGCCCTTCCCTTCCAGCGAGGCCAAATCAGCGGCAAACTCACTTCTTTGAATCCTTGTGACTATTGCCCTCTCAGCTGCTTCAAGTTCTGGCACAGTAAGCCGCTGTCTCTCCTGAGCCTTCGGCTCGGATCCGAGTACGGACAGCTTACGGCATCGTTCTACCAAGCAGCGCTTCAGGCGAAGGATCCATGCTACAGCGCGCACGAGTCTGTACCAGACAGAGTAGTGAGAAAACAGCTCCTCCAACGGGTCGCAGCCAGCTTGCGCGACTGCAACGCTGGTGATCTTCACCTCTGGGTCGTTTTCTACTCGACGATCGAGTCCAGCCGGGGGCTCAGGCCACTCATCCCGTCCCTTCCACAAAAAGGCCGGAGCATCGAACCACCGCGGGTTCGCGATGAAGTTGTCCGCTAATTGTCCCCTCGATGCATCGTCTGCCGGGTTGTTCGCTGAGTCAACGTACCTCCATTGTGCCGGAGAAGATACGTCCCTTATCACGGCCAGACGGTTGGTGACGAACGTGTGAAAACGTGTCGTTTCATTCTGGAGGTAGCGAAGCACTGTTGTGCTGTCCGTCCAGAACACACTTTCATCAATCTTGACTTGCAGAGCGCGTCGCAGTATGGCTTCAATGCGAGCAGCCAGAGTGGCTGCTGTCAGCTCCGCTCGTGGGACGGTGAGCTTTCCATTCAGGGGCAGAACCCTCGCCTTGCCGAAGACGAACGCACAGTGAACTTGTCCGTCACAACAGACGATTCGAAGGTAGGACACCGTGCCGTACGCGACAGAGCTTGCATCTGCGAAGTGATGGAGCTCTCGGGTCTGAATAGGTCCAAGGCCAGCTGGCTGTACACATCTAGGGACGCCGATGGTCGAAAGTAGTCCTCTGCCGCGGATCCATTGCTCCCACTGAGCTTGAATGTCCTCCGGTGCCGGGTCGTCCCAATCGTAGCGTCGTCGTGTTAGTTCCTGTAGAATGATACGACCGCACACGACGAATGGTGCAGCCATCCCCATCGGATCGTACAATGATCCGATGACCGACAACATTCCCCTCCTCGAGCATGGCATTCTCCGATCTTCCGTGGTTGAGAAGCCGATGACGTCCGGGTTGACTCGCCACTCAACCCCCAGTGTCTTCTCCAACGGAAGTTCTTTCTCGAGGTTCAGTTGCTTCACGTTCTTCCCTCTGTCTTCTGGTGGGATCGATTGTAGGACTTTCCTCTGGTTACTGACAAATTTGGCTAGGTGGAATCCACCCCGGCTGCACAGCTCTCGTACCTCCCTGACCAGGTCGATGGCTTCATCGATCTTCGTCACCGACTTCACCAGGTCATCAACGTAGATGTTGCTTGAGATCGTCTCACAGGCTGCAGTGGAGTGTAGGTCGCCAAAGTCGACGGCTGTCCGTAGAAGGGCGTAGCTCGCACAGCTCGGGCTGGATCTCAACCCGAACGGGTGCACCGTCATGCGCCAGACTTCCACGTCTTCAGCAGGGTCACCGTTTCGCCACCACAGAAAGCGGAGCAGGTCGCGCTGGTCGGCTGGTACAGACACCTGATGGAACATTGAGTTGACATCGCCCATGAAAGCTACTTCTTCCTGGCGGAACCGCAGTAGAACGTCAATCAGTGGAGTGCAGAGAGACGGGCCCTGCAGGACTGCGTCATTCAAGGAGACGCCCTTGAAGGTGCTCGAACAATCAAAAACAACTCGGAGTTTGTCTTTCTTCCCGAAGACACCGTGGTGGGGAATGTAGTTGACAAGTCCATCGTCTCTTGTCAGGTCTTCTGCCCTCACTCTCTCCACGAATCCGTTCTTCGACATGTCCTTCATCACCTCGCTGTATCGGTCGGCAAACCTCTGGTCTCGGAACTTCCTTTTCAGTCCTTGTAGCCGTCTCGTGCAGATCTCTCGGTTGTCTGGTAGCATGGTTCCCTCCTTCTTCAGTGGGATGGGAACCTCGTAGTGTCCGTCCTTCATGATGCAACCAGCTTCCACTTTTTCCATCCACATATGGTCTTCGATCGACCATCCACGTTCGTCAGCTGCTAGACCCTCGTCCTGGTAGAGTTGCCTCTCCAGCAGCCTGATCCTGTTTGACGTTGCCCTTACTTCAGTCAGTTTTCTGGACCGGACGGGGCCGTTCACGACCCAGCCGAGGCGAGTTTTGACAGCGAAGGGCCCACCGTCACAGCTGGGAACGAAGTCGAGGGGTTCAAAGGCCTCTGGTACGTTCACGCCTATCAGAAGGCCTACTTCTGCTTCGATCTCCTCTGGAAGCACGTCCCTTACGTGAGGCCAGGGTTCCACGTCCTCGGCCTTACAGAGCTCCGTCCTACTGACTGGGATCTTGTCGATGACGAACACTTCCGGAAGCTGCATTTGCTCGTTTTCGTCCATGTCACACATTTGGAGGTTGTCGACGGCTGAAGTATGAAGCTCGACCGGTTGTTGTGCCATCGTGGTTAGAGTAAGCTGATACTTCTTTGCTGTTGTGATGCCCAACTGGCTCAAAAGCTCCTTGCTCAGGAACGTCAGGCTACTTCCACTGTCGATAAAAGCGTACGTCTCCACGATAGGACCATCTCCATACCGCACCTTCACTGGTACCGCCGGCATCCTCGTTGACGTCCCGCTGTTGGACATGACGCTCACAACGGCTGGTGCAGGTGGCGCTTCCCCTGCTGTTGGTACTCCCATTGAAGCCACCTGGAAGACATGAAGTACAGACGGGTGCTTCCTTTCACAGACGCCACAGGTGAGTCTCATTCGACATTCCCTCGAACGGTGCCCAGGTTTCAGACACCCAAAACAGAGGCGTTTATCTCTGATGAGCTGGCGTCTGGCATCGAGAGGGCGCTTCGCATACGCAGAGCAGTTCTCCAACGTATGAGCTTCTTCGCAGCAGGGACAGACTGGCTTCTTCACAAGCTCTCTTCTCTCGCTCTCTTCTTGGCGAACAAAATTCACTTTGGCTTCTTTCTCTCTTTGCTTGGTGTTTCCTGTTTTCTGGAACATGTGTCTCCCAAACGCGGAATTTGATGCCACTCTCGCTTCGATTTCGACGAAGCGCACCAAGTCAGAGAAGCGCACGGCACGACCCTTCCGAACTGTAAGATCGTCGACCTCCCTTCTCCACCTCTCCTGTAACGCGTAGGGCAACTTTTCCAGCAGTTTTCTCAACGTCTTTGGATGGTCCAACTCGTTCAGGCCTTGCTGGAGACTTCCGACTGCGTTTTCACACGTCCGGAGCTCCAGTGCGAAGTTGTCGAGTGTCGTGACGTCATCAGCCCTCACAGTAGGCCGGTTCATCAGCTTGTTCACGAATGAATCAGCTATCTTGTCTCGCTCTCCATATCTCTTCTCGAGCAGAGACCTCGCTGTTTGGTAGCCTCCAGTGGCCATGTTCATGCAACTTCGGACGATGTCGCGTGGCACTCCGCTCGTAAACTGCTCCAGATAGAACAATTTACTGTCGTCTTCCTGGACAATGTGTGCAACTCTGTTGTCAAAGGCTCGGAGGAACTGAGTGAATCTAGTCACATCTCCAGAGAATACTGGGATATCAGGTCTTGGGAGCAGGCTGGCGGTCAGAAGTTTCTTGATTACCTCCTGCTCTCCATCATGCTGAGGTTGAGGGGGCTGAGCTCTGGTTGGTACGGGTTGAGGGTTTAGCTCAGCAGCGCCATTCGATCGGGGCTGCTGTTTCTTCAACTTGTGTGCCACACCAGAATGGGAGCTCGCTTGGCTTGCCATCGCAAATGCCTCCTCCTTGGCCTCTGCTTCTGCAATCTCCTCTTGAAGTTTGAGTTCTTCTCGTTTCATCTCCAGCTCTCTCTCTTGGGCTTCCAGACGATGCTTTTCCTTCAGGAATCGAAGCCTCACTTCTGCAGCAGCACGTTTGGCAGACTCCTGTGCACGTAGGGATCGCATCGAGCCCCCTGAGCACCTCGATCCACATGCAACTGAATGTTCCACTTGGGGTCCAGCTGCCAGCTGTGAGGCGCTATCACCAACCTCTGATACATCTTGAACGTCTCCATCTGGTGGCTTGGTTTTCACGTGTGAGGCACCATCTTCAGCCCCCTCCACGGTAACTGCCCGCAGCTCACCAGCAGTTCTTGGGTCAGTTGCCATTTCAAAGGCTTCTTCCTTGAGGACCAGGTTCAACCTCTCTTTCAGAACTTCCTTTGATCCTCTTGTATCTTGTCCTCTCTTTTCAAGCTCATCCCTGAGCTCTTGCACTTTGAGCCGCTCAACATTCAGGTCCATGTTCAATGAGATTAAGGAGACAAGTTGAAGACCAAGCAAAATGAAGATCAATGGGTGACACGCCTTCAATCTCTGAGAGCTCATGGATTATCAATGTGCAAGTTAAACAACCATGGAAGTAGACTAAATAGGTTCAGCGTGGCCAGCTTCAGGAATGTGTCAGGAATCCGAAGCTATCAGTGAGTGCCCTTAATCAATCAGTTCTGTTCTTGCTTAGCAACCTATAGCGAATGTATCCAGACTTTAACTATCAAATTCAAAGCAATCTTCTGAAGCCTGGTGGTGTGAGGTCCAACTTCAATGCGAGGTCGACGTAGCAAGATAATAGTAACAAATGGACGATCAAGATATTTGTCCTGGACAGGAATGATGTCACTCGCCCAATGGCCAATGTGATAACAGTCAAGGGTTCCCCAAAGTTGGAAACTACGTTCAATGCTATCACACCAGTACCCAATAGCAAGTTCAAGGTTCGAATCCTACCCAACAATCAACGGCAACAGGCATAAACAGTAACACAAGTCAACGTCAATACATTTACAGATGCACTTCTCGTGTCGCTGATTTACTCAATCATGTGCGTAGTGATAGCACACCCCCTAGCACAGTTCAGCTGCAAAAGCTCTAGAGTCCAGGGTTCAACCTTAGCACCATACCCACTGCTCACTGTTCTCCGAGCGGGTGCAGTGCCAGCCGCCAGGATGCAGATCTGCTCGTCCACGTCCAGATGTGCAGCAGTTGCAGTAAGGTGTGTGGCAGCAGCTGCTGTAGCTGTAGCTGCTCGTGGTGCAGAAGAACTCTCCAGAAGCCAGGAGGGAGCAGAGGTGCAGCCGACTCAGAGGTCGAGTCGAAACTGTAGCCGCCTGTACACCCAGACGATGGTTGTCGGAACTGGTTCTTGTATTGTACCGTTTCTGCAAGCGAAAATATGGCTCACAATCGACACACAGGCCACATACACAGAAGTTCTTGCGGCCACCATCATCTATTATCGTGTACACCAGCGTCACTATCGTAACACATCTATCAAATAGACGCTCAATTTACCAACACGAGCATTTATCAATGAATATCTTACCGACTGTCGCGTTTCGTCGGGCCTGCTCGCCTCCCACTACTCCGACAAGGGCAACCGCCTATATTAAGGCGAATCAAAAGACAAACAAGTTCTTCATCACGGCCCGTGACCGATCTTGGACCAAAAATGCCTGCACTCGCCCCGCTCGCCAACATGGCAGCCAATAGAGCGCGGCGGCGCCGCTGGATCTACGCAAAACAAATACCAGTACTTCGAAACATGAACAAAGCTTGACGAATCGCGCGCTATTGGTATTACAAATAAGGCTCAAAGGCCCAAAGTTCGCAAAATCATAGGCATAGAGTATCAGATACCCACAAAAGAAAAGAAACAAACATTGCAGCCTCACAGTACTTAGCTCATCCCCGGCACAAGCCCCCCGCCCACCACTAGGGCGCGGCCGGCGATCAGCTGATCGGCAAGGTCAGCCACCGGCCCAAGGGGGGAGGAGGGATGCGCCGGGGAGGGGAGGGCCGGCCGCCCGCAGGAACAGGCTACTAAACCGCATGGCGCCTACACCCGCTGATATGCCAGGCGCCAGGCTAGATAACCGCAGGTTGTTTGAAAAGACAAACACTATTCGTTAGAATTGTGTTTTTCTATTGAAAAACAACCGGAGCGGTCGTTCTCCGGGCTATGTTTTGCAAGTCTGGCAGCGAATCGAGACATCTTGATTGGGGCCTAGACGAAATGTACAATCTTCGTAAAAAGTTCAGTGTATAGGCTCCCGGAGGCGATCTACCTTATGGCATCGGTCGCTACTCGCTTAAAACCTCGTGGCACGTGGCACGTGCGATTCCATTTTCCCCGTGTTAAGTGAACGGGGTTTTGGACACTTTTTGCGCGATCGCCAATAGCGGGAAAACGAGCCAAGGAAGAGGTGGTTTTCTTCCCAGCATTTTATGGCAAACACGTTTGGGTACACGCTAGTGTGCGCTGTATACCCCTCAGAATCTCGGAACGTGTCTTTGCACGAGGTCAAAGTTGGAATTTTGCTGTGTCCCATGTTAAGTCAATGGACGGCGATGTCGAGACTTTGCAGAGACATTTTCATTCGATCTTTGTACAAAATTTTAGAGATAGATTTCGCCCAAACTCTTATATCTTGTAAAGGAAAGAGCATAGTACATGCCGTTATGCTTCGTTAAGCTGGCAGAAATCGTTTTTTCTAATAAAGTTCGTTTGAAAATGAAAATTTTTAACATGGAAAGTCAATGGGAGCGTCTTTGTTGCTTAATAACTTTTTACGTTACAGATATATCAAAGTGAAAAGTTAATAAAACATACAACTTTCGATGCTCTTTCCAATAATGTATAGAACGTCACTGCACGATGTGCCGTTTTTAAGAAAAGTTGTAAAAAAGCAGGGCTCGACTGTGACTTGAACCCAACCACATTAGAGTATACGAATAGGTGACGGCGATACCTCCCGTGTGCGGATGCGACACTGATTATTGCTAAATATTAGCAGTAGGCCGCCTGTGGGGTGCCTGTACAAACCTTATATCTCTGCAACCACTGGACCGATTCACTCGCGGTCTTTTGTGTGGGATAGCTCCTTCCTTTCTTACACGTAGTGTGCTACTCTCGATGCGTATGGGTGACCCCTAATGCACGTGCCACGTGCAAAACGAAAAGAAGTCAGTTCAGTAACAAGTCTAATAACTCTGTAGTTAGTTTGCCGATTGCGCTGATACTTGGCATGGTTGTAGGCACCCGCCGCGCAATGCATTTCCATGTGTCACGGTTGGGGTGCCGCTGCACGTGCGCACGGGCAGGGTGACGCTTCCAGATCTCGAGAACGACTGGGCCGATTGTGATCAAAGTTGGCACACCGTTAGGGCTCGGCGAGTAGGGTGCCGTGCACAAGTCAGATGGGACCCAGTTTGCACGTGCGCACGTGCAGGCTGACGCTTCCATATCTCAAGAACGGTTGGACCGACTGTGCTCAAATTTGGCATACCACTAGAGACTAGTTAGTAGGGTGCCGTGCACAAGTCAGTAAGTATGTATTTTCATGTGCCGCGGTTGGGGTGCAGCTGCACGTGCGCACGTGTAGGGGTCGTTTCCCGATCTTGGAAACGGCTGGGCCGATTCAGATTAAATTTGGTACATCGCTAGAAACCGGCGAATAGAGTGCCGTGCACAAGTCAATTAGGGCCCAGGCTGCACGTGCGCACGTGCAGGGTCACGCTTCCAGATCTCGAAAACGGCCGGGTCGATTGCACTCAAATTTGGCACACCGCTATAGACCGGCGAATAGGGTGCCGTGCACGTCAGTCCGTAGCACACCGACTCCGGTCTGCACGTGCAAGGCTCATCCTCTCGTTTGGCGGCGGGCGTTTTTGCTGCGTTTCCAAAGGTGCTTGCTCAAACAACCTGCGGTCCAGCGATGCGGAGCCCAGCATCGCAGATGTAACCGCAGGTTGTTTGAAAAGATTTAATGCAAGCTTCACTGAAGTTGGTATATTCTTTTTCTATTTTTCTATAACCGCAGGTTGTTTGAAAAGATTTAATGCAAGCTTCACTGAAGTTGGTATATTCTTTTTCTATAACCGCAGGTTGTTTGAAAAGACAAACACTATTCGTTAGAATTGTGTTTTTCTATTGAAAAACAACCGGAGCGGTCGTTGTCCGGGCTATGTTTTGCAAGTCTGGCAGCGAATTGGGGCAACTTGGTAGGGGCCTAGACGAAATGTACAATCTTCGTAAAAAGTTCAGTGTATGGTATTCTTTTTCTATAACCGCAGGTTGTTTGAAAAGACAAACACTATTCGTTAGAATTGTGTTTTTCTATTGAAAAACAACCGGAGCGGTCGTTCTCCGGGCTATGTTTTGCAAGTCTGGCAGCGAATCGAGACATCTTGATTGGGGCCTAGACGAAATGTACAATCTTCGTAAAAAGTTCAGTGTATAGGCTCCCGGAGGCGATCTACCTTATGGCATCGGTCGCTACTCGCTTAAAACCTCGTGGCACGTGGCACGTGCGATTCCATTTTCCCCGTGTTAAGTGAACGGGGTTTTGGACACTTTTTGCGCGATCGCCAATAGCGGGAAAACGAGCCAAGGAAGAGGTGGTTTTCTTCCCAGCATTTTATGGCAAACACGTTTGGGTACACGCTAGTGTGCGCTGTATACCCCTCAGAATCTCGGAACGTGTCTTTGCACGAGGTCAAAGTTGGAATTTTGCTGTGTCCCATGTTAAGTCAATGGACGGCGATGTCGAGACTTTGCAGAGACATTTTCATTCGATCTTTGTACAAAATTTTAGAGATAGATTTCGCCCAAACTCTTATATCTTGTAAAGGAAAGAGCATAGTACATGCCGTTATGCTTCGTTAAGCTGGCAGAAATCGTTTTTTCTAATAAAGTTCGTTTGAAAATGAAAATTTTTAACATGGAAAGTCAATGGGAGCGTCTTTGTTGCTTAATAACTTTTTACGTTACAGATATATCAAAGTGAAAAGTTAATAAAACATACAACTTTCGATGCTCTTTCCAATAATGTATAGAACGTCACTGCACGATGTGCCGTTTTTAAGAAAAGTTGTAAAAAAGCAGGGCTCGACTGTGACTTGAACCCAACCACATTAGAGTATACGAATAGGTGACGGCGATACCTCCCGTGTGCGGATGCGACACTGATTATTGCTAAATATTAGCAGTAGGCCGCCTGTGGGGTGCCTGTACAAACCTTATATCTCTGCAACCACTGGACCGATTCACTCGCGGTCTTTTGTGTGGGATAGCTCCTTCCTTTCTTACACGTAGTGTGCTACTCTCGATGCGTATGGGTGACCCCTAATGCACGTGCCACGTGCAAAACGAAAAGAAGTCAGTTCAGTAACAAGTCTAATAACTCTGTAGTTAGTTTGCCGATTGCGCTGATACTTGGCATGGTTGTAGGCACCCGCCGCGCAATGCATTTCCATGTGTCACGGTTGGGGTGCCGCTGCACGTGCGCACGGGCAGGGTGACGCTTCCAGATCTCGAGAACGACTGGGCCGATTGTGATCAAAGTTGGCACACCGTTAGGGCTCGGCGAGTAGGGTGCCGTGCACAAGTCAGATGGGACCCAGTTTGCACGTGCGCACGTGCAGGCTGACGCTTCCATATCTCAAGAACGGTTGGACCGACTGTGCTCAAATTTGGCATACCACTAGAGACTAGTTAGTAGGGTGCCGTGCACAAGTCAGTAAGTATGTATTTTCATGTGCCGCGGTTGGGGTGCAGCTGCACGTGCGCACGTGTAGGGGTCGTTTCCCGATCTTGGAAACGGCTGGGCCGATTCAGATTAAATTTGGTACATCGCTAGAAACCGGCGAATAGAGTGCCGTGCACAAGTCAATTAGGGCCCAGGCTGCACGTGCGCACGTGCAGGGTCACGCTTCCAGATCTCGAAAACGGCCGGGTCGATTGCACTCAAATTTGGCACACCGCTATAGACCGGCGAATAGGGTGCCGTGCACGTCAGTCCGTAGCACACCGACTCCGGTCTGCACGTGCAAGGCTCATCCTCTCGTTTGGCGGCGGGCGTTTTTGCTGCGTTTCCAAAGGTGCTTGCTCAAACAACCTGCGGTCCAGCGATGCGGAGCCCAGCATCGCAGATGCTGGTAACCGCAGGTTGTTTGAAAAGACAAACACTATTCGTTAGAATTGTGTTTTTCTATTGAAAAACAACCGGAGCGGTCGTTCTCCGGGCTATGTTTTGCAAGTCTGGCCGCGAATTGGGGCAACTTGGTAGGGGCCTAGACGAAATGTACAATCTTCGTAAAAAGTTCAGTGTATGGGCTCTCGGAGGCGATCTACCTGATGGCACCGGTCGCTACTCGCTAAGAAGTCTTTTGCGCGTGGCGCGTGCGTTTGAATTTTCGCCCATGTTAAGTCAATGGGGTTTTGGACACTTTTTGCGCGATCGCTAATAGCGGGAAAACGAGCCAAGAAAGGGGTGGTTTTCATCCCAGCATTTTATGGCAAACACGTTCCGGTACACGCCAGTGTGCGCCGTATACCCGTCAGAATCTCGGAACGTGTCTTTGCACGCGATTAAAGTTGGAATTTTGCTGTGTCCCATGTTAAGTCAATGGACGGCGATGTCGAGACTTTGCAGAGACATTTTCATTCGATCTTTGTGCAAAATTTTAGAGATAGATTTCGCCCAAACTCTTATATCTTGTAGAGGAAAGAGCATAGTGCATGCGCTTATGCTTCGTTAAGCTGGCAGAACTCATTTTTTCTTATAAAGTTCATTTGAAAATTAAAATTTTTAACATGGAAAGTCAATGGGAGCGTCTTTATTCCTCCATAACTTTTATCGTTAGTATTATATATAGGTGAAAAGTTAATATAATATACAACTTTTGGTGCTCTTTCCAACAATGCATAGAACGTCACTGCACGATGTGCCGTTTCTGAGAAAAGTTGTAAAAAAGCAGGGCTCGACTGTGACTTGAACCCAATCACATTAGAATACGGCGATGTCGAGACTTTGCAGAGACATTTTCATTCGATCTT